GAGGGGGGTAGATGTAATTATTCAAACAAGAGGGGGGTTTTTGTAATTTGATCATACCTCAGGGGGGTGTTTGTAATTTACCCTAAAATCTATAATATAATACTTATGATCAGAATATAGTTTTGTTACCATTTAATATATTTTGTATTCTAAATTTCTGAAACAGTAATTTGATTAAAGTTTCGTTTACGGATTTTGATATCTCGAATTGTTGTTAAAAAATCTATTGGATATGTGGTTTACTTTTTTTTCAATTGAAATTTAGTAGTTATTAGTTTTACTTTTATCGACACGGATGTCCTTATTTTTGGACAATTCTGAAACTTTCAGAAAATGTCTGCTAAGTTTTAAAATTTTAAAACTTATGTGATTTCCGAAATCTTTTTGACATTTTGAAAGTACTTCCGAATTTTTTGGAATTTTTTTTCGAAAAGGCTAATTCCGATCTGATCGATCGAACTTTCACACGTAAATATTATTATCCATATTGGTATCATTAATATTAATATTAGTATTAGTGTTAGTGTTAGTGTTAGTATAGTATTTGTACTAGTATTAGTATTAGTAGGATTACGATTAGTGCCCGCACGGGTGTAGCTCAACTGGTTCCGGAGATGGTAAGTTGGTACAAGGTCCTAGGATCGAATTCTGGCAGTCGCAGTATGGAGATTTCAACTTCAATGAAGGTTGGTTCCTTGTGGGCACCAGGTCGGGGTCCGCTACCTAAACGGGCCGTTAAGTTACCATGATTTACAATCCTCCATCAAATACTTGTCGGGCCAAGGGATGGGGGCCCTGGGGACGAGGGATTTCGCCTTTGGTACAAGGATTACGATTAGTGATTAGTAATAGTATTATGATTATGATTAGTATTAGGACTTGGATTAAGATTAGCATCAAGATTTGAATTATTATTATTATTAGTATTATTATTATTATTATTATTAGTTTTAGTATTATTATTGGTATTAGTATTAATATTAGTATTAGTAATACGTGGTATTCTTTCTTCCTGTTCAACACATCGTTATATGAAGGTAGTGGCGTATACATCTCATCTGTTTTGCAATATTTATAAGGTGTGTTGTAATTTGAATAATGTGTATCGTTGATTGAACGTCGTTAGTGATAAACTTGGAAGTTATTTGAATCTCTTTTGTGTTACTTCTCTGTTACCGTGTTTGTTGTTAAGTCAGTTATTGTGCATAAGATTCACATGGTGTAGTAGATTGCATTCCATGTGATAGAGTTATACCATATGTTTCAAATGAGTTATACCATATGTTTCAAATGATTTCACTTAATTTTCATGCCGCGCTTTGCATTTTCTTCTTTGTAATATTTAATTGAATTTCATATGTTACAACTTTGAATTAAGAGGTAAAGTTTATTTTATTTTATTTCGTATCATTTTGTTTTACTTGAATTGGAGTTGTTATAAAAAGATAATCGTTTATATATTATTTTTTTCTCATTTTTAAATTGACCTCCTCGGAACTCACGAGTGAAGTACGTCAATAAAAAAAACTTGTTCTAAAATCGTAAAAAAAAAAATCGGATTGAAAAAGGCAAAATTTGAAAGTCCCTTATTTTTAGTTACTTATAATATAAAATATATAATATTATGGATGGATATTACAAGTGAAATTTTCGAAAAATAATTGAAAATTTTGGAAATTAAAATCGGAGTGAAATCAAAACATAGTGTCTCATCTTCTCCCAGATTTTTTCATCAATAATCAAAAATAAGTTATACCTTTTTCACAAAAATGTCTTAATTATTATGAGTATTATATAATAAATTGTTATAGAAATAAATAAATTTTTGATTAAATATCACACAATTTGATAAATTAAAAAAAAAAAATATATCAGATACTCAATATTTATTTTTAGGGCGAATGGCAAAAAGGCCACATGGGACTTAAATGCATTTTGGTCCACAAAAAAAAAACAGTCTCTCAATTAAACCCATCCCCATGTTTTTAGTCTAAAATACCCTCCATAATATAAATCTTATCAATTCCATCCATTATGCTCTAACTTCCTTAATATTACACATTGACCCCGGATTTAAATAAATATATCACATTAACCCCCAATTTTTTTTCAGAAACTAATTTTTTTTCTGAATTTTTTTCGGGCCAGAGTCCGGCGTTAACCGCCGTTGACCGCCGGTCTCCGACGTTGACTAAATTAAGAAAACGTTCATGTATATTTCAAAATTACCCCCAACCATTTATACCCAATTCTTAATTGTATCCCCAATTTAATCAATTTTGATAACAAAAATCCAATTTTGACTTCTTTTTTTCGAAAACTTTTTTTTTTTTCAAAAAATAGAATTTCGCCGCCGGATTCCGACGTTGACTTTTCGAGTTTTTTTTTTGGTCTGTTTTTTCTGCCGCCGGATTCCGACGTTGACTTTTTCGATTTTTTTTACATCCGCCGCTAAACGTAGACCGTAATTGTGCTATCACTGACAGCAAATTAACGTAATTATACTGTAAATGATAGTACATTAACGTAATTGTACTGCCGTTGACAATACATTTATTTAATTGTTCTCCCGTTGACACTAAATTAACGTAATATTATTATTTATTTTTTTGTTATATTTTTTTATTTTGTTTGATTTGTTGACAAGTCAACGTAATTATATTACTGTTGTTGACAGTAAAATAAATGTAAACACAATAATATTACTGTCAACCACATCAATATTATTCTTTTTTTTGGATTTTTTGTTTTGTTTGAGTCATTCACGGAGTAACGTTAAAATATTACTGTTGTTATTGTAATATTGCTGGCAAGATCTTTCTGTTGCCAAGCAAGAAAAGCAAGATTTGATTCAGGCATTCCATCGAGCACTTGGGGTGAAGAACATGACCCATCAACATGACTAAATAAGTTCTGACTACGAAGATTTGGAATGAGCTGAGCTCTCCATAAAAGGTAGTTTTCATGGGTTAATTTAATGGTGAAAATGCTAGAAGGTGGGGGCAGAGATACAGGAGAAAAAGTAAACAGATATGGATGAGGAAGAGGAGGGAGGATTGACCATAGGAGGAGTAGACGGAGAGGGATCTGCCATTAAAGCAAATAAAAGAGAAAAAGAAAACTAAGGAAGACGTGAGTCTTATGTAGCTCTAATTATCATGTTGAATCTGTAATCATACTCAAAGGTGTAGAAGATAGATATGAATATGAAAACCAAACAAAAAAGAGAAGCACATCCATTTTTATTTATGTTAATTTCAGTATGTATACTGTACATATAAATAGAGATAAAAGGATAAAGTTTGTTATGCTAGAAAACAAGAAGTCAGGACACGTGTATGCCTATATATTCCCTTGCATATTTGTTGTGATCTCCTGTGGTGAGCTGGCAATAGGTTTAGTTTCTTGGGGAGAAAGATTATTGCTAATAGCTATCAACCACATCAATATTATTATTTTGTTTGAGTTTTTTTTGTTTGTTTGAGTTATTCACGGAGTAACATGATAATATTACTGATTATTATTGTAATATATATTACTGTGGTTGACGGTAATATTACTGTTGTTATAATAATATTACTGTCACTCGCAGTAAATTAATTCTTTTGGCTTTTTACTATGTTTACATTTGTTGAACGATCAACATAGTAATATTACTCTATTACACAATAATAATGAATTTTGTTGTGTTAATATTACTGTGCTAGAGATTAATATAGCAATATTAATGTGTTAAATTGTAGTCTAGTTAATTTCACTGTGTTTAACAGTAATATAGTTAATATTACTGTCACTCACAGCAATATTGTTGTTTAATTGAAAAAAAACAGATGTTACAGAAAGAAAGAAAGAAACAAAAAAACAAAAAAGTCAACGGCGGAAACCTGTTGCGGAAGAAAAAAAAGTCAACGCCGGAGACCGACGGTCAACAGCGGTGAAGGACAAAATCGTCCATAAAAATGTGTTTTGGGTCAAAATTGAATAATGTGTTAAATTTGGGGTCAAAATGAGGTTAAATTAAATTAAGGATGAAATTGGAGCATATTAAAGTATGAGGGGCTATTTTAGTATTTCACAAAAATCTGGACCATGTGTGGACTTATTTGTAAATGAGTTTTTTGTCTGGATCTTTTTATGAATAAGTACCCATTGGTGGGCTTATTTGTAATGACCGGTATAATAAATTGTTATAGAAGTAAAATTTTGATTAAATATCAGACAAATAAAAAAAAATCGATAATCAATATTTTTTTATTTTCTTAGTTTCAGCACAGATCTATTGAGTAAGAAGAAAAAACCATATAGTAAATAAATTTTCTTATGTTAATTCTTTTATAATATATATAAAAAAAAACATCCTTTTATACTCAACCTTAAAATATTGAGCTAATTGCACATAACCCCCTGTGTAATCTCGAATGGCTGAAAAACCCCCTGTGTTAAAAAAATTAGCACAAACCCCCCTATGTTGTTTTATACGAAGCACACTGCTCCTTTCGTCAAAATTCGCTATTGACTTATATACAATGACTAATTTACCCTTACCATAGAAACATGAAATTGTTAAGAAAAAAAAAACAAAAAGAAAAAGGAATTTCGAACAAAACCCAAAACCATCTTCCTCGACACACTGGAAAATCATGAAAAAACAAATCTTAGAAAAAAAACAGTGTGAAAGAAATGAGCTATTGTTTTTCCTTTTTTGAATAATTCTTCACTCAAATCCTCTACAAAACATCAATCTCCTTAGATTTTTAATAACTTTTCAGTAATCATTCCTCATAACTAGCCAAAATCGAAGTGTTACTGTTCAATTTGTCCGAAAAATGATTTCCGGCGTCGAATCTACATCAAACAAGACCCTACTTTTAGAAATCGTCGACCATCAAATTTGGCCGGAAAATGTTTACCCAGATCGAATCTACCTTTAACCAGGCCCAATCCTTATTTCTCGCCGGAATAACTCCCCATAGTCGTATTCGGTTCTTCTCGCCGGAAAAATGTTGTTGAAGGATGCATGTGCTGAAAATCCTCCATTACTGATGAACGGCGGAGGTCTGGGGGTTCAAACACTTGGCGTTGCCGAAGAGAAGTTGTCAGTGGAGGAGAAGATTGGAGGAGGCCGGTGGTGGGAGGAAAGGGGCGGCTGTAGGAAATTCGGGAAGAAGACGAGATCTAACCTTATTTTTTTTTTTTTTTTATATAATATGTTATTTTTGTTTGCCTAAGAAATTTTGAAAATTATAATTCGATCCAAAAATTTGTATTATTTGCAGTTAAACCCAAATAGATTTATGTAAATTTATTAAAGAATTTAAGAGGGTATTTTTGACTTTTCACGTCAAAAATTACACTCTCAGTTGCACAAGCCGCGAGTACAACACACGACATGCTGTCAAGTACTTTTTTGCCTTTGACTAATTTTCATCGGGGGGTTCTTGCTAATATTTTTAACACGAGGGGTTTTTTGGCAATTTGAAATTACAGAGGGGTGGTCCTTGCAAAAAACCCTAAAATATTAGTATTAAAAAAATATCTAGGTATTTTATTTGTATACAAATTCATTGTTAATGTGTCAAATTCCACTTCGATTATTATTTGGTATCTTTTATTTGGTAATAAGCTGTACCATGAGATATTTTCCTTTTTTTTAGGGTCTATTAGATATAACCCCCTTAAACATTCAAATAATAGGGATAGACCCAAATTTGTATTTGCCATTTTGATAACAGCCCAAACTTTTCCTAATTACATAATTACCCTCAATCAGACGCGAAAAATGAAACAGAATATATATGGCCGTTTGTGATGGACGATGTGATTTCTGAAAAGAAGAGAAAAGATGAGGGGATTAGAGAACGGCGGTTTGTGATGGACGATGTGGCTAGGGTTTGTAAATATAAGATTTGGTAATTAGGGATAATATAGGTATAATATTTAATAATTGTAATATTATTAATTTAATTAAATAATTAAGGGGGGTTCTCACTAATATTGTAAAAGGGTATAGATCCGCCTTAATATAACCTAATTAGTTGGGGGATTTTCACTAATAATCCCTAAAAAAATATCTAGGTATTTATTTGTACACAAATTCATTATTAATCTGTCAAATATTACTTCGGTTATTATTTGGTATGTTTTTAAGTATTTTATTTGTACACAAATTCATTGTTAATGTGTCAAATACCACTTCGATTATTATTTGGTATCTTTTATTTGGTAATAAGCTGTACCATGAGATATTTTCCTTTTTTTTTTTAATTCCAAATTATACTTGAACTCAACTTCTTTTGACTTAATTAATAGATTAGAACTAGGTTTCCTTTTGAATAATTTCCCGTCCTTATATATAGATGCAAGCAACCCACATCTCTTCTCTTCAAAACATCAAACATCAATTTTCATACTTCGATCTGAATATTCATCAATTTCTCTATTGTTTTATCTCCCATGGCCATGTCTACAACTCAAGCTCGCCGAAATCTTTTCTCGGTCCCTTTTTACAACGAATGCATCCACGTAACAGTAACAAAAGAGGCCCGACAAGTACATGAATGGATTCTTTCGATATGCAGTATTCACATCGATTTCTCGAAGAATCTTTTAATAGGTCTTGATACCGAGTGGCTGCCAAATCTAAACCCAGGCGAAAACCACCCTATCGCTATACTCCAACTCAGCATCGGCAACCGGTGCCTCATCTTTCAACTTCTTCACGCAGATTTTATTCCGGTTTCGCTCCACGCCTTTTTAGCCGATCCTCGCCACACGTTTTGTGGGGTCGGTATCAAAGATGATGTGGACAAATTATACGATCATCACAAATTACGCGTGAGAAAAATCGCGGACCTGAACGATCTTGCAAGACTGGCGACGATCAACAGCCAATGTGGAAACGGAGGGTACAAATACATGGGATTGAAGAAGATGGCGTATGCGGTTCTTGGAAAGAAGATGGAGAAGCCATTGAACGTGACGCTCAGTAAGTGGGACGCTGTGGAGCTCGATCGTGATCAAATTGAATATGCAGCCATTGATGCGGTAGTTTCTTACCAACTTGGTTATACACTGTGCTCGCCGATTTATCGTCCGCAGCCAGGCTCTGTCGTAGTTGGACGACCTGGATTGTTATTAGTTTAGGGGACAATTTTGGATGTTCTTCATGTTGTGTATATTATATATATTTTCTCTTTCCTTGCTAATTGCTAAATAAGAAAAGGGATCGAATTTATGTTGTTCTTTAATTTTTTTTTTTATCAATGTTTTGGTATTGTACTTGGTCAGGTTTAAAAATTCAGTTTATTTTAAGGCTTGCAGACACATGAAAAATTAATTCGACATACCAGATTAAGAGTTGTTTCCTAATTAAAAAACAATATATATATATATATATATATATATATATATATATATATATATATATATATATATATATATATATATATATACACGTTATAATAAATATATATTTGATTAGTTATAAAGAAGTAAAGAACTAGAAGAAGTAAAAAATATCACATGACTAATGATAAAGAAAGAAAATTATTTGTTCAATTCTGAAATTATGATGATGGCAGGATCTAAGATGAGCAAAATGTGGAGGGAAGAGTTAATGATGGAGAAATCTACAAATTAAGCAAGCAAAATAAATGATTTTTTTTTTTTTATCTATAATCATGTAATTAAAAATACTTTTTTTTTCCTTTCGAAATTCCCTGCTTTTTTATGGGGTAATTGTTGTGCTAATTTGCATGTTTAATAGAAAAGAGCTGTCCTACTTCTATGATGGACAGATTCTAACGTATTTTATCATTTCTTAGATAAATGAAATGGCTGTACATATATGTAAATGTAGATTGTAGTGTTACTTGTAACTTTCAAAAACATTTGTTCTTCACTTTACACAATTGGAGATATTTGTTGCAGAAATTTGTCTTTTGAGTGGATTTTGCCGAGGCAAGTTGTCTCTTTCCTTAAGACGAAATTCCTTCGCACGGTGCCTACGGTTTGAACGGAAATCGTCTTCCAAGATACAACGCCAAAGCTTGGAATAAGAACGCTCCAAATCCCAAGTACGCCAAATTGTACTTTGTTTAGAAACTCTCAAAAAAATCTGCTGGAAAAGGTAAGACAGAATTGTACAATGGCAGCATATGACAAACTAACATGATCAAATGTATATATATAAATAATGAGATTATGATCCAATCTTACTTGGAATAGTGGATACTACTTCACCCATCTGAAGTCGATCTGCAAAAACAATGAAGAATAAATCGAAAAACAAATTTAAACGATCGGAGAGATGAAGGAAAGTGGAAGGGGAAGATTCACACAGAGAATGGTGGTTTTTCCGGCATTGTCAAGGCCAAGGACTAAGATCCGAGCTTCCTTGTTCCCAAACACCGACGAAAAAAACCACCCCTGTGTAATCTAAAATTGCTGAAAAACCCCTCATGTTAAAAAAATTAGCAATAACCTCCCTGTGAAAATTACTCAAAGACAACAAGGGCCCTGGCAGCTTATCGTGTGCTCCACACGCGGATTGTGCGACTGTGGGTGTATTTTTGACTCGAAAGGACCAAAATGCCCTTAAAATTATAAATTTCAAATATTACAGATTTACCCCGAAATTCAATAGAGCCCAAAATGAAGTTTCCAAAAAATTCAATTCAATCCTTAACCTTTTCAAAAAAGCCATCTTCTCCAAAATAAACAAAACATTTCACTCAACCAGCTTCACACCATCTCCGACGTCTTCGTCATCAGAAAAAATCAATCTCGAGTTCTACTCCGAAACGGCATCGTCGAGCCCACCTCCCACCCGCACTCGAACTCCGAAACGACGTCGTTCGGAAGTCGGCAACACAAAATAGATCTAAACCGGCTCCAATTCGTTCTCGGGTTCGAGGGTCGGCAGCTTACCTCCCAAACCTCGATTCTAAATTCTGTAAACCTTGATTCGTACATGAGTGAGGTAGACTCCAAAACAAAACCACCAAAACCACCGCCATAACCACCTCCACCACAGCCGCCGCCATAACCACCGTACCTCCCTCACGATGTCAAGACCCACCGCACGCCGCCGCAATTGCAGCTAGACGATAGTTCCCGGACGTGTACGACGGTTGATGCACCATTAGAGAGCTTTCATGGATAGTAGTTGTCTGGGTTTGGATTTGGGTTGGGGGTGGGGTGGTTTTACAGGGAAGAGCAATTTGACACGAGGAAAGTAATTTGATTTTTTTTTTATTATTATTTTTTTCTTTTGATACATTTTTTATTTTCTTTTCAACTTTTTATTTTTTTATTTTGTTTAATTTTTTATTTAGGGTAATTTTGTCATTTCCTTTAAGTCAACAACAAAAAATGAAATAAGTGGCGGTGTGCTATATAGAAGATAACATAAGGGGGTTTTTGCTAATTTTTTTAATACGAGGGC